CACACACACACACACACACACACACACACACACACACACACACACACACACACACACGCACGGCGGGTGTGTGTATGAGTGGATAATGTGCGTGTGCGCGCGTTCGCGTGCAGTTATGAATCTATTGTATCTGTCGGCAATGCAGGCACCGACCTCTCTCTACTCTTGGCTCTGTGCGCGCGTGTGTGTGTGTGTGTGTGTGTGTGTGTAGAGGGTGTGTGCACGTGTTTGGCTGTGTGTCGCACGTGTGTGTTGTCATGTTCGCTATACACAACTCCACAAAAAAGAAGCAAGACTGTGCCGGACTGTTTCGTCGCGACTTTCACCGACTCATCGGGACCTTGAACCCTTCTGTGCATGTGTGTGTGTGTGTGTGTGTGTGTGTGTGTGTGTGTGTGTGTGTGTGTGTGTGTGTGTGCCCCGCGCACGGGGGGTGTAGATCTTCTCTAAAATTACTACAACATACGTAAATCTATAGTATATCTGTCGGGAGTGCGGGCACGCACGCACGTACAGAACAGAGGCGGAGACGGACACGTGTGTACAGCCCACCACACCATGGGATGCCTAAGTGATCGCTCGCGCGCGCGCGCGCGCGGGTGAGCAGGATGGAGCCAGCTCAGCGGCGCACGTCGCAAGGCGGGAACTCCACGCATTCACATATGAACGAGGTAATCCACGTGGTAGATATAGTTCTATAACGTGTTTATGACACACGTGGGAGCAGGCGAATAGAATAGAAAAAAATAATTACTAGAATTATAGAATACACTAGAAAAGAAGTCGTCCCTGTACAGCGAGCGGAAGGATCCGGAGGTTGGGGGGGGGGGGGGGGGGGGGGGGGACCACTTCTCTACCCGGGTTTCGCACAGATCCCGACCAAGTGCGATCCCGCTGCAGATAACTTGAAAAAACCGCCGGGTACTCGTCATACGCCTTGACCGCGATCCCGACCAACTACATGTACATGTCTAGTCGTTGCTTCTTCGCATTCCCATCGTTGACTCTTGTTCGCTGCTGACCTAATTATATTATTAGCACTCAAAAAATAATTTCCAATCCTTATATCCTTCTCCCTCACAATTATTAAGAGTTTGCAATCATTCTCCTAGATGTTATCATGAATTTGGACGTGATGACGATCCGATGCATAATTATCCTTCCGTGGCATTCCGGGGTGATAGAAAAAGATTGAGGCAATATAAGCCTTAACCGCGATCCCGACCGTGAGAGAGAGGTAAATGATGATCTGCAATCAAAATCTTCCATAGAATAGTCATACGCCTTGACCGCGATCCCGACCAACTGCATCTACGATAGGGTCTGGCTCCAGTACTCAACACGCTAATGAGGACCAGATACGGATGTATTTCGAGCTTACGGAACCTTTTTCGATTGAGTGCATCGGGACCATTAATTACGTAATATCCATTCGGAGTGTCGTGTAGTAGAACGTGGTGAGATCTTGGATTGTCGTCGATGCTCTTCCCGTCGTCGTTTCAATGACAAGGATCGCATGCCACGTGTACGTCTCCCAGGCAGCTTATATGTATCCCGTCTATCTCTTAAAGAATAAAAATTAAAAACAAAAAGAAAGAAGGTATATC